AAATATCCTTTTAGATGTTTAATTTTTAATTTATTACTTAATATTCTAAAATAAAACCTAATTGTTAAGGTATATCTAAGTTTTTTAATTTCTTTATGTAATCCATTTGATAAAGGTCTTCTCATAAATAATCTTCTAGATAAGATTTTTATAATTTTTGGACTTATATAAAGTCTTTATATTCTTAAAGTGGCTTTAGTTGCAATTTTTTGTGTAAGGGATATTTTGGTAAATTAAATTTTCTGTAATGTTTCTGTAAGTGAATAGTTCTGTACAAACAATTATTCTGTAAGATTACCTGAAAAATTCATTGTGATTGTTAATTAATTAATAAAATTTTGGGAAGCGACGAATGACAGGATAAAATTTGAAGCTATATTGATATTTAGCCCATATTTAATTTAACTAAAAATTAAATTTTTAATAGATTTTGATAAAAATTGATAAAATATATAGTTAAAAAGTAGATAAAAATTGTGAATTTTATAAAATGTATGATTGAAAATAAATTTGATGAAAAATGAATTTTAGAAAATGATGGCAAACAAGGGCTTACTAATTCAATTGACAAATTAAGCCTCTGTTTGCTGGAAATTAAAATCAAATTTTAAGTAAGTTTTGATAGAAATTGATGAAATATATAGTTGAAAAATTGTGAGTCTAATGCAATATATGATTAAAATTAATTGTTGATTTTGATTTAAATTTAAATTTTGATTTTGATTTTAAATTTTAATCAATGCCAAACAAGGGCTAAGTTTACTGGTCCAATTAAGATTTTAGTTGAAAGTTCAGTGTCTCCGGATGGAATTTACCCTTCTCTTTTTTATTTTATTTTGCACCGTTTTTTCTCTCCTATCCTCTCCATCTCACCAGCTACACCCTACGATGGACCACATGGACTATATAAGCAAATACAGACACCACCTTTCCGTCAATAACTCTCCTTTTACACGGAACCCTTCTGCCTTTTCTCACCGAATAGACTGATAAAGATAAAGATTTACACTTTCAGCTCAAAACCCACAAAAATGGAGCAAGAAATAGAGAGGAATATGGAAGAAAAACGTAGCAAAGATGAAGTTTTGATCAGTAGTGTAAAAGAAGAGCCTTTGATAATACTTGACGAAGAAGAAGAGAATATCGGGTGTGGGGGCGATGGTGCATGCGCTGTGGTGCCAAAACCAATGGAAGGGCTGAGAGAAATGGGGCCATCGCCATTTTTGAAGAAAACATTTGAGATGGTGGATGATCCTGCAACAGATGTTATTATATCATGGGGTTCTATGAGGAACAGCTTCGTTGTGTGGGATCCCCATAAATTGTCCACCGATTTGCTCCCTAAACAATTCAAGCATAACAATTTCTCCAGCTTTGTTCGGCAGCTCAACACTTATGTAAGCTTTCTTGTGTGTATATATTATGTGTTTGTGGGGATGGGGTGGGGTAGGAGCAATTTCTGTTTATTTTGCCATTATACACAATTTTGGATTGTTTTGATTGAGGAAATGGGATTTTTTCACTACAAGAATTGTCATTTTAACAACTAAAATTTCTTCTGTAAAATGTTTTCTTTGGGTTTTTAAGTTGAAGAAGGGTAGTTGAGAAATTTTGAAAGGCAAAGTTTTCATGGTTAAGAGTGACATTTATTAGTGTGTTGTCCAGTTCATACCTTTGTCTTTTGCTGTGGTGATTAGCTTTTCTAAATCAAAGTTAATTATAACCAGTAATTAATTGTTTAATCATAAAATAGGCCTATTGTGGGGGAAAACCAAAAATATGCCATTTCGTGTTTATGTATTTTTAATGTGGAGTCATGTTGTTATGGATAGATTCTTGATATTTAAAGTGTAGCTATATGTTTTTATTTTCTTCTGATTATATTAAGATTTTGATAGGCGATATAGCATAAAGAAAATTCTCTATGCTGTTTCACTAGTGTATGAGATGATCATATGGCTTTTGTGTTGTTTCAAGTGTGAGAAACAGAGTATATTTTGTGCTGTTTTGTCCTTTTGCATTTTGGGTTGCATCCGAGTTATTACCGTCATTTTCTCATACATTTAGTTCATTTTCGATTTTATCTATTCTGATTTCAAGATAAATTTAGCTGGGATATCATTGTTGTGCAAAACCTCAAAGTGGATTAAGGCAAAAATATACAAGAGAGAACAAACATAATTTATATGTTTCTACACTATGCTTAGGTCCAAAGGCGGATTCGTTACCGGTAGAGTTTGTTATGCTCTGTGTAGTATTATGTTTTCCTTGCTTCCATATATTCGAAGGCCAAGTGCCAAATTCTATTTTTTTTTTTTGTTTTTGTTTTCACAGTTATATTTGCCTAAATCCCAATTTGAGGAATCCACAGAACAATAATGTTTATGCATCAGTATGTCCGAATTGATGAGACTTTGTTATGCAATTGTTGCAGAGCTTCAGGAAGATCCACTCAGACAGATGGGAGTTTGCAAATGAAGGTTTTCAGCAAGGGAAGAAACATTTGTTAATGCATATTAAAAGGAGAAAGAAAAATTCTCAAATCATGCCGCAACATGGGGCAGCACAATCTTGGTTGGGCGTCACCAAGAATGGGGCAGAGGCTGAGCTTGAAAAACTGAGGACTGATCAGAATGTACTGAAAGAAGAAATAGTGAAACTGAGGCGACAACAAGAGAACATGGAGCATTGTTTAGCAACTATTAAGGATCGTTTGCAGGACACTGAAATAAAGCAAAAACACACTGTTGTTTTCTTGATTAAAGTGCTAAAAAATCCTGGGTTTTTGCAGTACTTCATTGAGAAAATTAGAAAGAAAAGGGCATTAACCAGTGGTGAAAGTTTGAAAAAACGAAGGTTGGCTGCTCCTGACTTGGGTAATGGTGATTTACTGGAAGCTATGAGAACCATTGATACTGACGAGGTTGGTGGGATGAATGCTGATGATAAGCGGCTTCAAGTTCAAGAAGAGCTTACTACGATTCAATCAGAAATACAAACATTGTTCTCGTTCGATGAATCAAATAGTTCAGATTTGTCCTCTGAGAGTTTTTTCTTGTGGGAGGAACTCATGGAAGATGACATGATTTACGACCCGGAGGAAGCAAAAGAAGAAGTCGTCGAAAGGCAACAATTGAATATGGTAATGGAACTGGAGGGTTTACTTGCAAAGCCGCTGGAATGGGGTATGCATAAGAAAGGCATGGTTGTACCGGTATCTACTGCATAATTCCCAGGTATGATATGATCCTATAACACGAAATTACAGCTCACCTTAAGCAATCACACAAGCTTTCTTTTAGGTTTCCATGAAAATATACAAAAGTTTATTCATGAATATACCTAAACAATCACACCAACCAACCATTTTGAGTCTTTTTTTTTCTACATTTTTGTAATAAATTTCTTGCAGGAGGGTAAATGGAAAGTGCTGCCGGACTGTTGTGTTGAGTATTTAGTTGTATATTCTACCTATTTTGTTGTTTGTAATTTGATAAATGGCAATTCTTCTTTCTTGTTTTAAGTAGTTTCAATCTTACTATGTAAAAGTTTACTGCTGTGAAGCAATAGTAGTGCTCTTCTTTATTGCCCTCTATGTTCATGGAATTATGATGCTTAAATTCTTTATTTGGCATCAATGTTGCATCAAGGATATAAGATGATGTGAAATAGATGCATGGCTTCGGTGAACTAACTTGATTGGGAGCTTAAAGTTTCATGTTCTCATTTGTATTTAAATTTATTTAGGAGTGCTTTAACTTTCATCTAGACTAGTGTTAGAGAACGTTATTCAATATTTATAATGAAGTGTAGATTGTGGGGTGGGGCTTGATCCTAAAATAGTGGGGTGTTGAATAAAGTGGAGTATATTGTATTTATTCAATATTCCCAGTTTTTTTCCTTTAATATATATATATATATATATATATATATACATAATCACACTTTTTTATTCTCTAGAAGTGTCTATTCATCCTTGGACAATTGACACAATCCAAAAATGTCTATTTCTCAATATATTGGGGATCAAAACCAAATCACTTTATGTTACATCGGAGCCACACGGCTATCCATATAAGATTGGATGGTCATTTCACTAAAGAGCTTATGCGATTAAACTCAATGTTACTGACAATTTTTAAGTGCAATAATTTATTAGTCATAAGCTCTATGATTATTATCGCATATTACAGCTGTAGAGATTAGTGACTGTTAGTATTTTCATGGAAGTTGTTGGGTTTGAATGGTGCATGCGGGGAAACCCATACAAATGCAAAAACCAACCGTTTTTTTTTGTTTTTTTGAGAACAGGCTGAACTCACATTATTTTAAGCAAATTATGCAACAAGATGACTCGTTGAAAGTCAATTGCTTCTCTGACTTAGTTGAGCTATCGAGTTATGTTAGGAGATGGTGACCAATTAGCCGAGCTAAGGCTATTAGGGTCCGTTTGATTGCAAGGGTGGAAAATGGGTGGAAAGAAAATGTTTTACAGGGAATTGATTTTCTTAGAAAATGTTTTACTGGGAATTGTAATTAATTGTGTTTGATTGGTATAATTTT